AGGTCTTTCTATCTATTTTTATAAGGTTACTTATTCATTCAAGTAATTCCTTACTCTTCGTTAGTCGAGTGTGCCGAAGATGAATAAGTATGGTGACGTATCTTTATGGATTCATTGGTGAGTTCGAAAGACGATAACCCAATATGTTGGTTGCCGGTCCAAACATACTAACTAGTACCCCTTAACATTAATACGGCTTATACGAACTTTCAATAAATAGGGTTCCTATGACTCCTTTGTGAACAATTTTTTGTAAAACCTTGATTTCACCACATTTGATCACCTATGATTTTGAATAGTCTACTTCTGAAGCTCCACTTCGGCTGATGAGAAATTTCCTAGAATTGACAGAACTTGGCGACCAGTCGAAGTGGAAGTAAGCTCAACTTGTTTAAATAAAAAGAAACACTTCGAAAAACCACTTTTCCTCGTTAACTTCATAGGCTCAGAGAAGCCAACGATACAGGACTAGTCTTATTTTGTCATCTCAGGACAATTTGCGTAAGAGTAGATACGAGCTTTTGCTTGAAGTCGAAAAAGGCCATCGAATTGGCCAACCTGTCTATAGGATGCCGTCTGACGCATCTCGGCCTTATCGCAATAGTCTGTAATGCGTTTCACCTACATGCCGATTTCAGGCGAGATGAAGATTATGCGCAAATGACCACAAAGCTGGCCAAGGCAATTGGGGCCTGTCTATTCGGCCAAGCCTCGGCCATCGCTTTGCACATACAGTTTGCGAGACTGAGTTGAATCATGCGCCACGATTACGAGTCGAGCCCCACTTAGTCTAACACCCTCCTCCTGTGACATGCCTCTTCAGCCACACAAACAAGCGGACGGGCCTAATGAAGCCTTTCGTTCTCTTTGCCGTCGTCCTCTTCTTTTCCCACTCTGTCTAAATTCTTTCCTTCTTGCAATGTTTTCCCTATCCCTTCCCAAATTCTCCTCCACTCTCCCTCTCGCATACACTTATTCATCCTTTCTATCTGTCCTCCCTTCTGCCTGCTTTCTTTTTCCTTTTCTCTCTCTTTCCCTCACGCAACCGCAAGCGGAAACACAAACAAGTGCTCGCACACACAAACAACCCCATATTTTAACCGAACGCACGTCTGAAAGACTGTGCCAGGAAGCGGTTGACCAGACTTTGTCCAGTGTGGAACCACAACCCCAAGGCGGAAAATATGCTTCAACTCTTTATGGCTATGACGGCGTGGCTCTGTCTGGAGGGGTATTTGAAGCGAGGGTGTGCACAATTGGGGGACTGCACATAAAGGGAGAGGGTCAAGAGAGCAACTGTACCCATTGAAACTGGTGCCAACAAGACGAGGCAGTAAAGCTGAGTGCTTTAAAGAAGAGGGTTTTCTGGCGAATATTCGAGCGGACAGGGAAATGCAGAATGGAAGGGAGGCAAGACGGCAAGAGGTGAAGTGTGTGGTTTCTAGATGCATGTGACTAGTCTGGTGTCCATCACTACAAGTGCAAATATATTATCCTTTTTTTGTAGCCCTCTAAAATTTACGTACATATTTTCTATCATTTAAGCCGCTATGAGCTTACTCTTTTCCACTACTCGAGGCCACAGCATGTGTGACCGGCAAATCCGAGCCAAACAGGGTCGACTTGGTGAGCCTAAATGCTTCGGGGAACTGTTTCATCGATGCAAGCAAACACAAAGTTGGGAGATAAGTGTTAAGGGTCCATTGTGATCTGGGATAGCTTCGCCTGACAGTAATAACATTCCAATCAAATAGACCTCAAATATTTTTCGTTTCATTAGTAAGTTTTCGAGACCACTAGTAGATATGATATAATAGCTATATTCATCCTATTTCTTTAAAGTTGATGAAGGTGTGCTAGTTGAATTTTCGCACAATCATATATCATTGAATCTCAAATAGCAGTGTATAGTCTCGAAATGTTAACCAACATACAACCTGGACACGAGTATCCTTGGATCACAGATTAGAATTGAATTCCAGGTAAGGCTAGGCCTTACTCATACTATTTTCTTTGGCTGGGTGCTCGATAAGGCAAAGTTGTATTTGCTATAACAATCGACTACATTAATAATTTTTGTTTATTATGTAGGCCCAGGAGGGTATCATTAGATCTGAAACACGATCTGTTCTTATCCCATTTCGCTTAGGATGAGAAAGGAAGAATGAGAGTGATGCATGGAGTAACCTATTGCTATAGCAAATACAACTTTGCCTAATCTGAAATCACATCACATAATGTGGTATGGTAAAATGCCCAGCCCTCTTTGAAATCCGTATCTACTCTGTGACTCGATGGCACTCGTGGCGATGTGGTTTAGTGGTTAACGTGTCGAGATTATACACTGTACTGTCATGGTTCGAGTCCTGCTGTGAGTGCTGATGAGACCAGTTAAGGCGAGTGCGAACCTGCAGTCTACCTTGAATGGGAACACCTTTTGGGAAACAAGGCTACGCCAAATTCGTTGGAAACGTAATTGTGGGAAAATCTAACTACCAGTCCTTCATCACCTTACCGAAATAGGGTTACTGCATTTAATGTATATTATCTAGTATTTGTCTCGAAAACCCACGTATTAGGCAAAAATTTCATGTTCTTTTATGTAAGGAACCAGACTTCCTCATTAAGTTGGCAAATTTAGGTCTAGGAATAAAGCCTCCCACTTTTCTTGTCTTAGTGTATAGAAGCATTCTTCCAAAGCCTCTGACGATGTGGAGAAGATCAATTGCCAAATCCCTCTTTCAGAATAATCCTGCCAAGCTGTCATCTTACACATGAAGACCGGGCGGCTGGGAGGCTATACATCAATGCAAGGCTGGATTCCAAATAGAATGACAAGGAAGATTATTTTTCCCTTTGCCCCAAGCCAGGACTCCAAAAGTGGCCCAGTATTTGCGGCATCCATCTCGCCTCTTGCTCCTGGCAACGAAGGCTGGCCATGCCAGAGTAACTAGGGTGGCCGAATATCAAGGTCAACCACTAGACCGCCCGCCGGCCGCAACTGGATTGTTGGTCCTGATAAAAGGTGTGTAAACAGATTTGTACGTGTTGAGCTGTGTTTTATTGCAAATAGGTGAGACAGGGCCAGCGGAGCTGGAAGGTATCCATGACCAAGGCAATATACGTCTGCGCAACTCATCCGCTCCATGGTCAGAGAAGTTTATTGCTCGGCCGGTCAAGTGAAATAAAAAGTCAGGTGTTTTATTTTAGAATGCAGAGAACAGATAAAAGAAAGCCCGGCAAAAACCTGGCTTCTGTGTTTGGCCTCTTTTTATATTTGTATGGTCTATTGTCGATTCTTGAGTCTATCATCGCTTTAGCCATATCCACGTGTTCACAGAGATCTGCTGAATTTTGTCACTGCGTGCTGAGATCTTCTGACAATGAGAGGATTAAAATGTCAGCAAATAAAGATGGTCCATGCATAAATAAAAATAATGCTCCTTCAGAGCCGCAAATCCCAGGTTTAATCCATTTTGACAGAGACGCAAGCCGATTTCTAAGATACATGTCATTGTGAGCTAAGGTTATCCCTTATTCGCTGAGGGCAGATACTTTTTGCATCAAACCGGATCCCTTCGCTCGTGAACCATCACTAATGTGTATAAGAAAAGGAACCAGGCTTAAAAGAATCCCTCTAGTGGAATGACGTTATTTTACCTGATAATCCCACTGGAAAACAAACAACAAGTGTATAAGACTTTTTGTCTGTTAGGTTGTGCTAAGAATTATTTGCTTTACTGCTTCGCAACCCCGAAGAATCCACGCCGAGACTTAGTTTTTAATTGTTGGACTCACCTCCATTTCGAGTGAAAGTGTTCGGTGGAGAGTTTTTAAGACCCATCATACAACGGAAGAAAGCTTATCACACCGGAAACAACCTAGACAAGAATGTTCTATTGAAGCCAATCGACGGCTAGTCAAGAGGAATCCACCCTCGTCTTCTGGTGGGGTCGATCTTTGAATCTCTTTTGCCAAATAAAGAGATTCCTCGAAACCAAAATTTTCTTCGTTATGACCTAGTCTATTCTGTGGCAAATACTGTCAGGGCCATTGTATTGAGAACTGTAGACAAATATTCAAATACACACAAAATATACACATGTATTTCGGGATTAGATTCCAATTTGTCTGTGTAAGGTAACAGGCTGTCTCATTAGGACTGCATTATTAGATCAAAGAAGAAAGAAGGACTGTAGTAGGCAGATTTTCTTGGTTTAGTGCAATGAATGATGGTTACTGGCTCTGACGTTGTCCGTCACTCCGGTTAGAAATCCAGTCCACCCACCTTTAAAGACGAAACGAAAGGTACAGCCTCATCTCTATTGTCGCAAATGTCGGACCAGACGGAAATAAAATCTTCTATACCAATTGCTTCCACCGAGCAAAGCGTCGATTCATCATCTTTAGCAGTAATTTTGTCTAACTTTAAGTTAAGTACCTAGAGAGTTCCAAGATTAGTTGTATGCCTCAGACAACCTGTATAGAATATCATGCACGAGATTACTTCAATATAAAGGAAACAAGTTCAAACTACTTCTAAATAAAATTAAGTCTATCATATACAAAGGAAAAGGAAACATTTGCAGTTCGAGATAGAGTTGGGTTGGAAGGGTTTCGTGAATTGGCTTCATCTGGAACCGAAGAAAGACTAACTTTGAATGGGGAGCATTGGATAGGATAGGCATAAAGAGGAAGATAATATAGCATGGGGTAGGAAGAAGAACTGCTGAGCAAGAAAATGAAGTATGAATAACCTCGGGTCTGGGTAGGGCTCTCATACCTCACAGGTCTTTGAAATTGCATACACCCAACACATGCGTCGAAAATGCAGGATAAAACGCTGGTTTGTTTAGAGGCAAGGAAACAGTTGTGAACACATCTACCTCCTTTTCACGCCTTAACATCATCCATCAACGAAAGTCGGGGAGGGGAAGCATAAAGGTTTTTAATTTTCTAAGTAGGCTTTAGATACTACCAGTAGATCTTGAACAAGAAATGTGTTGGCCCTATTTTATTTGTGGCGACGAAGGACTAGTTCTTAAATTTTTCCAAAGTATATGAGTAGGTTTCAATTTTCCATTTAACTTCCTATAGCTTTGCTTCCCAAAAGGTATTATCATCCAGGGCGGACTGCAGTTTTGAACTTAGCTGGATTTCATCAGCTCCCCCAGCAGGACTCGAATCCAAGTAGTGCAGCGTATAGTCCTGATACGTTAACCACTACATCATAGTTACACGAGTACCCTTGGGTCACAATGCAGATTCGAATTTCAAGGAAGGCTAGACCTTCCATATATCATTTTATTTGATGGGTTTGTCGATGGATTAAAATTTTATTGCTTTAGCAATCGACTAAACTACATATTTTCATTTTCTATGTAGGCTTTTGAGACTACCAGTTTAACTTGACAAAGAAATGTTTTAACCCTATTTACCTTAAGGTGATGAAGAAAGGAGGCTAAGAAAGGAGAGGTGAAGATGATGAATAAAGTAACCGACAAAATCATAGAGTTACTCATTAAGTTCGAGAAATTAGTTAAAAGCAATATGCATCGATGCAGCGTGCCACACTTTTTCCTGGCCTATTGTATTTGGTGCTTGTTTTGCAGATAATGGTTTATCGCTCTAGCGTTGTATATAACATGACAGACGGGAGCTTAACATGGATTCACTGGATTCGCAGAGCGGAGAGCAGAGGACACCTTTGCACAACCCAACGATTTCTACTCTAGGGCACTCCTTCGCTTTCTGGCGATTTTACTTCACGAACGTCCTCGAACGAACTTTTTTTTGAAAATTAAAACTCCAGTCATCCAAAATCCTTGATGGATGATCCTAAATCCAGGTTTTAGACTATATTTGCTTTTTAAATTAAGGCCTTAACCAAGCAATAGGGCAAGATCAATAGACCATCCTTCGTTTTT